GGAAAGCTGGTAATAGGAAACTCAAGTTGAGAAGGGAGAGTACTGACATGTCATGGAGTTGTTAACCAACGTCATAAAACAATATATGCACTAACTGTTTAATGAGAAGCTAGTTTGTTCTGTAAACCTTCATTTAAAGTACAATAAAAATAAATAAGACCATTGTTCAAAAATGAAAAAAAAAAAGGATGCCCACTATAATTGTTATTATTCAATATTATTCTGGGAGTTCTAGGCAATTTGATAAGACAAGAAAAAGAACAAAGTATAAATATATGAAAAGATATCATTAATATATTGTTAACTAAGACAGTATATGTAGAATAATATAAATTGTGTGATTCCATGAAAAAACATATAAGTATATAAAGTGTATAATACATATGTCATAGAAAAATACTTTTTGGCAATGGGATGAGGAAAAGTATACTGATATGTTTTATTTTCTATACTTCTACAATTGTTTGCACTTATAAGTGTGTATTAATTTTTACAATAAAAAAGGACAAACTCTACCTAATCCTAATTCAGAAACCCTGGTGGCATAGTGGTTAAGAGCTACGGCTGCTAACCAAAAGGTCGGTAGTTCAAATCCACCAGGCACTCCTTGGAAACCCTATGGGGCAGTTCTACTCTGTCATATAGGGTCATTATGAGTCGGAATAAACTCAACAGCAACAGGTAGGCTATAAGAATATAACTCTATTTCTTTCTAACTTTTAAACATATATAAATACTTGATATCCTCATTGTAAAAAAAAAAAAAAAGTATATTAACCAAACTATATTTTTCTAAAACAGGAAAATGGGCATATCAGGTTGGATGATCTGCCCATTATCTTCACCCAGTTTCCACTACCCTACCTTCCTCATACTTTAAAATCTTTCTTTGGCTTCCCATGTACACTTTACTACAGGACGAACAATGTTCTGACTAGCTCGCTAGATTCTAGTCACTTGGCAGTTAGATTTTCTGACCTTGAATTTATGTGGCAACATTTCCAAAATATGTTTGCTTAAAAAGATGCCTTCTAAGCAAATGTTTGGAGCCCTGGTGGTACAGTGGTTAAGAGCTGGCTGCTAACCAAAAGGTCGGCAGTTTGGATCCAACAGCCGCTCCTTGGAAACCCTTTGGGGCAGTTATACTCTGTCCTATAGGGTTGCTATGAGTCGAAATCAACTCAGCGGCAATGGGTTTGGTTTTAAGTAAATGTTTAAAAATAATTAATTGGGATCATGAAATTTCCATTCATAAATATGAGAAACTTATTTTTGAAACTTGTGTTTTGAAGAGTATATTTTGACCAGAATAAATGTGTAAATTATACGTGTGAGAAGTTAAAAAACTGTAAGTTTTAGCAGCTTCTGGTTAAATGTGTGATTTGTCTGTGAAAACATTTTTTAAAAATTATTAGCTTTGTCTATTCTGGAATGATCTGTGGTTCAGTATACTGAAGTAAGATGAACTCTATTTAAGGAAAGAAAAACGGCATCAGGAGTTAAATCATATCTAAAGTTATACCTTTTTTTTTTCAGAATGTTTTCTCCATAAATTTTCTCTTTCAGGGAAAAGTTTAATCTTGATAAACTAAATTAGGCAGCATACCAGGGAGGAAAAGAAAAAAAGGTATTCAAAACAAAACATACCCAGACAATAATCAAAAAATTTCTCCAATGTAGATTCTGCAGGGAGAAATCAGCGTGGGGGGAGTCTTTTGAACCAGTTAAAAATTCTGCCTGGAGGTAGCTACTTCAGAATCAGGATGGGGAAAGAATCTACCACAACTCCCATTTTAGTAAAAGTCCTATATGAAGTTTCTTAATTTGCACAATTCCAAGTTTGGTGATTTTAAACTTAAAAATATAGTAGTAAAAATATTTAATGTATCAGAACTGAAAAACGTAATCTCTCTCAATTTGGGCATTTCCTTTTTTGATGTTGTAATTAAAATAGAAAAAAAAAGTTTATTGGTGAAATGCATAATGTATGGGCTATAATTCTTAAAGATGATCACGTTTTTCCTCTGTCATGATCATATAAATTATCACATAAAATGCATATGGGGAATATGGAAAGGGCATAATTTAATCCATGCAAAGAGCTAATTATTATTTGCCACTAAAGCTGCAATGATTAAAATTTCTTATGACTAAAGTTTTGTAAATGTTCCTATTTGCTTTTACATGTTAAAAAAAATTATAACACCTGGCTTGATACTTGAAAGAACTAAATGTAAATGTGAACATGAGCTAAATATTGAAATATCTTCTGTGAATCGATTTTGTGGAAGTTACCTGGACCTGTAGATATTCTGGGGAGCTGGACATGTTCTATTTCCCAACCTAGGTGATGGTTACATGGGTGTTTGCTTTGTAGTTATTCATTAAACTGTACATTTGTGTTTTATGTTTTCTGTCTGTTATATTTCACAATCAAAAATTTCAAAAAGAAAATGGACATCTGATGCCCGGTGTGCTGTAGTACAAAGAATCCTCCATTAGTTTGTAGGTTCTGAGTTATAAAAATTCAGAAATTTAGAAGTCCTTAAATTTGGAATTATTTAAACCCACAAGTACAATACACAAATTAGCGACCTTATGCCTGATTTTATTCATCTGTAAAATTGAAATGACAGTGATCCCTACCTCACAGAGCAGACGTGAAGAGTGCATGTAAAAGGTTAGGACAGTGCTTGACATAAGACAGGGTCTTCATAAATGTATCCTATTTGTGACAATTCCTTGGGGACTGCAATCTCAGGGAAGCAAGAGTAAGGGGGAGGGGAGAATTGAGGTCAGAAAAAGGGGAAGTGAGGCAAAGAAGGAAGGAAAATAAAAGACAAGGTGGTGTAATAGTGATCTGGCCACAGCTACTTAAGAAAACACAGTTGATTGATAGACCATGCAGAACCACTTCATCTGGGAACAGTCCCTTCGGGCAGCTGCTGGGACTTGAGTGCTAGAGCTGTTGTAGCTACCTCCTCTGGCGGCTGGTGCCATTAAGCTCCAGTCAACCCCTGAAACCTTGCCCCCAGCTGTCAAAGACAATGGGCAGTGTTAGAAGATGAGATAAATGTGGCAACTGTCATGGCTTTGCCTCCTGAGACAGGAAGTAGAACTAGTGGTCAAGGGCGTGAGGGCAGGATAGATAGGGCTAGCTGCATCAGGGAAGCATATAAAGTGGGGCCCAGTGCACTTCTAGTAGAAAATATTGTTGTTAGCTGTCATCCACTCAGCTCCCCGCTCATGGTGACTCCATGCACAACACAACAAACTGGAACGCTGCCCCATCCTGCACCATGCCCATGATCAGTTGCAGATCAGACTATTGTGATCCACAGGATTTTCACTGGTTGATTTTCAGAAGTAGATTGCCAAGTCTTTCTTCCTAGTCCATCTTAGTCTGGAAGCTGCTCTAAAACCTGTTCAGCATCATAGCAACACATAAGCCCCCACTGACATACAGTTGGTGGCTGAACATGAGGTGCGTTGGCCAGGAATCAGCCCATGTCTCCTGCACGGAAGCTGAGAATTCTCCACTGACCTACCAGTGCCCCAACTAGTATAAAAAATTGAGGTTAATTCTAAATAATCGCCGAAGAACACAGAAATAAGGGTCAGACCAAAGAGAAAATTAGAATCAAATAAAATTAAGGGATCCAGTAAGTGAGAATGAGCACAAGAGGGGAAAAAAAATCATGAAAACTCCATGGAGGAAGAAGACAAATCATATCAGAAAAACGGGCACATCAGGTTGGGTAATCCTGCCTATTATCTTCATCCAGTTTCCACTACCCTACTTCCTTATACTTTAAGGAAAAGGTATAGTGCTACTAGAGACACATCAAGAAGGAGTAAAAAGTAACATCCCCTGCCTCCTAAAGTTACCTAAGCTTTTGGGTTCCTAGGGGTGAAGGGCCAGCCTCTCTGGGCCTTTATGTTTCTCAATGAGCTATCAAGACATTTATGTGGAAAATGTGCAGTTGGACTCAATTTTGCGTGTGTTGAAAGAAGGAAATTGGGTAGATTTCCAGGAATTTGCAAAAGAACCAGGATTTATTTTTCCTTGGGGACAGAGAACTGAGACTGTACAAACCAGCCTCTCCGAAATGGCAGACCCTTGAAGGCTGCTGGGAAGTTTGTAAAATCTGAGCACTAAGGTTTGGGAGCCTGCAGGAGGGGCCCTGAATTTTCCCCCAAGGAAACGGAGCTACAGCAGAACCACCCTCCACGGCAGGACCAGGCACAAAGCTGGATAGGCAGACCTGGGGGTAGGTAGCTAGCTAAAGGATCAACCAGGACACCAGCACCCCAACAGTGGCATCATGTGGCCATAAGAAGCAATAGCAACAGAGACATCCAAAGACTGACAAGTCCAGAGACGATGTGAGCCTCGCATTCCTGACTCCCACCCCCATAGCTATACAATGAAAGGGAAAGGGAGGAGCCCTAAAATAACTGATAATTGACTTCCACCAATCTTAACAGGTGAGGCTTAGACTCTTCTAAGTCAATTAAAGAAAATAAAGATAGACTTCTTTTGAACACATTGCGTTTAAAGTACTTCTCAAGTGGACTGCAGCTCAAGATAGTGGTCAAGGGTTTATGTAGCTGGTAGGCCAGGCCTGGGATCTAGAGTGAGAAGAGGGCTGAGAACAGAATCCTGGACGTTCATCTTTTAAGAAGTGACAGAGGAGAAGAGACTGAGGGGTAAAACTTTCTGTGGCATTTATTGAGCACCTATGGCAAGGAACTGCACCAGATGCTCAAAAAGTAGAGATTGTACGTCCGCATGAGGAATGAGTGTTTAAGGGAGCAGGTGGCCAGCAGGATGCTTCTACAAGCCCCTTGAGTAGAGCCCAGGATTCAGTGGAAACTGGAGGAATCATACAAGGATCTGTTTGAAACTCAAGCCACACTCTGAGTTCTCAGGTTTGCCTTATTCCCTGTACCACCTTTTCCCGTTCCTTCACATGGAGTCTGGATAAGGTGAAATTACTTTTATTAATGGTGAGCGCAAGCAGGAATGTGAGAGGCTGCTTCTGTTTTAGAGGACACAGGGTACTAGGCTGAAGGAGCCCGGAAGGGAAGGCCTGAGCTGGGCTGTGGACGCAGAATTCCCTCCTTATTTGGCCGTGAATGCCGCATTCTAGAGGAGGATTTATTTTGAGACCAGACAGGCACAGTGGGGCAGGCACCCGCCATCAGGCCGCATTCTCTGTTTGGAGCAAAGCCCCTTCCGCAGCCCCAGGTCTCCCGGGATCTTCCTCGGTGTCCTGCGGAGGCTCTGGCTCCAGCGTGGACGCCTGGGCAGGCTGAGCTTCAGGCTGGCCTTCAGCGCTCCGCCCAGGCCCAAGGCGAGGTGGCTTGACGGGCGTGGGTGGTGGCGCTGCAGGCCCTTTCCGGCCCGAAAGAGCCTTTCTCAGGCTCTGTACCTTCTGCAACCCTGTGCGCCGCAGCCGCCTTGCCCGGGACTCCACGGGCTCCTCCTCTGAGCTCTCCTCAATTTCGGCCTCCGGCAGCTCTGGGCCCAGCTCAGACAGGTCCTCCAGGCCCAAGGGCTCTGGCTCCTTCTGGAAGGCGCTGCCTGGGATTTCGGCCTCCTCCTGCAGGTGACAGGCACAGCACTGACGCCAACAGCAAAGTCATCTCCCCTGACCCCTACACGGACCAGCCTAAGCTTCATTCCTCAATTACATAAGGGAAAACCGCTCCACCCTTTACCTCTGCAGCCCAAGTCAGGAGAAAAAATCCGGCGTGGGAAGGTGGCAATGGAAGTGGGAGGGAGGGCTGCGGGAAAACAGCGTAAGTATGGGAAGTAGGTGGGATACGGGTAGAGCCGTGAGATGAGGATGGTGATCGCTTGAACAAGAACTGGAGCAGGCGGCAAACTGTGGAGGGATGCACCTCCACAGCCGTTATTTTCAGTTGGGGGTGAGTTGGGACTTGGAGCAAATTTTGTGGACGTGGCCTGAGCTGGAGCTGGGCGGGCTTTGATTAGCCAGCTGGGCTCAACGCTGGTGAGGGAGGGATGGGGCTGAGGTGGTGGTTAGTGGGTGCGGCTCTGCAAGTCTTTCGCCGCTGCGGGAAGGTGGGTGGGATTAGGAATGTGGGTGTGCCAGGCGGCTGGGTGGAGAGCCCCAGGATGGTGGCCTGGGGACGGGTAAAGGCCCCCCCGGATTGGGGGACGCTTGGGGTCACTGACCTTGAAGAGCAAGACGTGGAGCTTCCCGCGCGCCACCAGCAGCCCGTGGTTGGCCTCCAGCCGCTGCATCTGGGCGGCGCGGCTCACTGCGCGCTCCTGAGCCGCGTCGGAGTGCGAGCCCACGCGCTCCGCCTTGGCCAGCAGCTGCGCCAGCCTGTTGCTGGTGGTGTCGTGGCTGCGGCTTAGCGCGCCCAGGCCGCTCTGGATGCGGTGCACGGAGCCCGCCAGGCCGCCCTGCCTCCGAGCCAGGCCGCCCTGCCGCTCCCGCAGTGCCTCCAGCATGGTGGCCAGTTTCTCCAGCAGGGTCACCACCGTCACGGCGTGAACGGGGCCCCCCGCTGGCACACCGGACACAGGCCCCGGTTCCAACGCACTTTCCCCCATGATCCCCGACAGTCCCTTGCCTGCTCTCCCTGCGGCCGCTAGCTGCGCTTTAGCCTGGGGCTGCCTTTCTCCGGCTCCTCCCCAGCCCCAGCCGTGACTCAGGCAGGCGGAGTTGGCTTTCTCCGGCAGCAGGAGGGAGGACGGGGGGCGGAGGGGGCGGGATGTCAGCCGGGGGTGGGGGGTCCTACCGAGGAGCTCCCCCTTCTGCTGCCCCGCCCAGGGGACCCGCGGGGGAAGCAGGTTGGCCCAGGACTCCAACCTCTGCAAACTCTCTCACTTTGCGTTGGAGTTAACCCCCCTCCGCCGTCCCAGTTTCCTGTTGTGCCTCTTTCTGGAACACCACCACAAAGAGGGAGCCACGGAAATTTTTATCTCATGATTCGAGTGGGCAGGGAAACTGCTGTTTCAGTTAGAGCGGCAAAGGGCTAACCAGAGGGGCGGCCGCCCTCCCTGGGTCCCCCATACCGCCCGCAGGCTGGGCGCGGTGGACCCGAGGCTCCAGGCTGTTCGGCCACAGATCTGGGACTGTATAGGCTCGAGGCCCCGTTTTCTGAGCTACGTGGGCGGGCGGGCGGGCAGGGGATCCTCTGGTATTTTCCTAATTGTCATTGCCAGGCTTTTGCCGCAGGCCCTCGGTTCCCGGTCTCTAGTCCGTCTAGTTCTCTTCCCTCCCTTTCTTTGGGCTTCCCGAGTAAAGCTCAGAGGCGCCTCGCCCACCCCAAGCTTGGAGGGCTGGTGGGACGCTTCTTCCTTTAAAACCTTCAAAAGGCTTAGAGTAGGTGCTGGAATGTTTTTGTTTTGATGGAGGTTGGTTGTGGCTCCTGCCTGATGCTGTTGATAATCTCTGGAAATAGGTGAGAATATCTGCGGAAAGTGAAGAAGATTTGAAATTGCTGTTGTAAAGGAGGAAAGAGTCAGCATGGAGCGTCCAGTTAATGTTGCAGATCATGAATTGGTAATATCATCAGTTTGGAAAATCCCACGACTTGTCTTTAGCAATACTCAGCAAGCTGATTGTGGACACAGAGGCTCACACAATCCATTAAGTCTGATGATTTCTCTCCTCACCCAACCTGTGAGGGCTACTCAGTAACAACTGTGGAAGAAACTGTGTCACTTAGGTGATAGTTACATGGTCTGAAAGCACCTGAAGTCTAATTTACACAGAAGTACAGTAGACTATGTAGCAGTGGTGGTTCAGTAGCAGAACTCTTTCCTTCCATGTGGGAGACCTGGGTTCGATTCCCAGCCTCAGTGGAGGCTTGCGTGTTGCCCTGATGCTGGACAGGTTTCAGAGGCATTTCCAGGACTAGGAGGAAAGGCCTGGCAACTGCTTCTGAAAAATCAGCCAATGAAAACTCTGTGGATCACAACAGTCTGATCCTGTTGTGCCTGGGTTCGTCATGAGTCAGGGACGACTTGAAGGCCACTAACGACAACAGCAGGCTATGAGCAACAGTTGCCAGAAGTCTGGTAATGCTAAGATGATGCATGACTTCTACAAATACAAGGTCTTGGAGCTTGGTCTTCTGCTTAACACAAGAGAAAAAGGATCCCTTGGGTGCCTGTTGGGAATCACTGTCTCTTCCAGTGGATCTATATTTGCCCAGAGAGGATGTGCCGATTAAAATTCTTTCATACTGAGGGAACAGAAAACCCAATTCAAACAGCTCCTAAGCACAGAAGACCCAATTCAAACATAACTGAAAAAGACCAACGGTAGAGTGATGATTAAGTGTGGATCAATCACAGCTCAATCCTGCCCTCCTTTAGGTGTCAGCTTCATTCTCAGGCTGAAAGCAAGGTAGCTCCAGTGGTTCCAGGCCTCCCATCTCTGTGCAAAATCCAGAGGAAAGAGGACATTTACCAAATTTTAGGACATTGGTTTCCTAGAGGTCCCCCCAGAAAATGTCCACATGCCTCCCGGTGGGTTAAGTGGCCATTGCAGAACCAACTCCTGCGGCTAGGAATATGTCATGCATTGATGGACTGAAGCCTGAGGTTCTTAACCAATCATTGACAAGAGAGTGGAGAACTACCTTTTGACAAATTAGCCCACTTCTGGAGCAGGGTGGGATCAGCTTCCCCAGGAGCATATGGTGGTATGGGAGGAAAAGTGGACATCTATGCAAACATCTGGAGGAGTAGATGCTGGGTAGGCAATAAAAAACATTGATTACTGGAAGCCTGTGAAAGAATCACCAGCTCTGAGGAATGGCGCTAAGGGAATCGAGTGATTTGGAAGCAAGGACTGTGTAGATAGATATTTTTCAAAAACCTGCTAAATCCCTCTCTAGATATGTGAAACAAGGACAACCTTAAAATTGGGCCATAGAGTCATTGATCAGTTTACTGATCGCCCTAAAACCTCAAGTATAATAACACAGGGCAACTCAGAAAAATGCTCTGAGTCAACAAAGCCCAGATTGGCAAGTATCCAAAGTATCCAAGGAAAAATCCTATGTCAGTTGCCTGTAAGGGTGAGAAAAGAAGAAAGAAAACAAGGATGCAGAATGATACCCTCTAGGTCAATGTAACCTGAGCTTAGTTTAAAGATTTCTATTCCCTACGTCAGGCGTGGCTGGGCCCTACTCCCTCAAGCCCCTTGGTTTGAACATGAACAATGGAAGCACAGTGATTAATCATCATCAGTATCACAGTATCCCGTTCTCCAGGATGTGGCTTTACAATAAATGGCCTTCACATTTAATTCTCTGAAAGATCTGTACGAAAAATTAATAGAATCTGAAGACTTCCAGTACAACACAGACAATTAATAGTTGCCCAGATATGGTCTTGCAAAATTAGGGGAATGCTATGGTAGTTGAGCTAACAAATGCTTAAAAAAAACTAAAAGGTATTGCCAATCTTGCTTGTCAAGGGTTCCTTTTTTACATTGCCCCATCCCCTCCCCAGAACACAATATACCATGGAAAGGGCTGGCTCTATTTAAAAAAGGAAAGAAATGAAATATACTACACCTTTCATCAGAGTCCCTTGGTGGTGCAAATGGTTAATGCGCTCAGCTGCTAACCAAAAGGTTGGAGGTTCAAGTCCACCCAGAGGCACCTCAGAAGATAGGCCTGACAGTCTGCTTCCAAAAGGTCACAGCCTTGAAAACCCTATGGAGCACAGTTCTACTCTGACACACGTGGGGTTGCCATGAGTTGGAGTCAATGCCTCAGCAACTGGGGAGGGGGCAGGATCTGCCTAGCGAAGAGGGTAGCCCTGTCTCTCTACCTGTATATAAAAAAACAGCTGTGGCTTCTTTTACTTCAAATGAGAGAGGGGATAGAGTAACCTCTGAAAGAGATAGATTAGGTCACAGTGCCTTAGATGGTGTCACTTTACATCCATTTTGCTTTTTCTCAGTGGTCAGGTGCCCCATTATTTGATGTTGCAAAGATCCCCTAAAACAACAGTGGCAGAAGCACTATAACTCTTAACATCATACCTGATGGGATGAGTATGTGCAATCAGGTTCAGGGACCAGCCACTAGGGAGGGATCCAGCAGACAGAAGTTTTAGTTAAACCTGGGACAGGTAGTGAAACACATGTAATACCTTCCACCACAATGATGAACAGCAGCTAATGAGAGTGTTTGAGTTTTGGAGTCAGCATACGCCCCATCTTGGAATTCTTATACACTCCATATCTTGGATCGTCCAAAGGCCGTATACTTAGAATAGGGGCAACAGGAGCCTCTGTGACTGACCCTGGTCAAGTTACAAGCCATAGTCTGGTCATCTCTACCCCTTTGGGCCCAGTGAGTCAGAAGAAAGTTGAGACTTGAAGTCTCTGTGATTTCTGCGTTTCCCACTAAGATGATATTTGGGGAGGGGGACGGAGATGCAGATCCAAGAAAGAGAAATATATCAGAAATGTTTATAATCTGGACTAAGGCAATGCTTCCAGCAGCCAAGATTTATACTACTTTTGAAAAACAATTTCTGTCTCACTACTGAATCTAGTGGGGAGATTCACCAGAGGTTGTCAGATTGTTTCGTGAATTGGGACTCTTTATCTCCCAGAGCAATACAGCCCAAAAGTTCTTTATTATTAAACGGAAAAGAAACAACTATGAAAGAATGAGCGATGTCTACATGAGTGAATTGTACAAGAAACATCCCTGACCCTGAGCCTTACTTTCAGCTGCCCAGAGAAACTAGGGCATTCCCCAGGGACTTGACCTTTGAATCAAAAGCATCAGCATGCAGCTCAGACAGAACCACACGTTTATCAGGGAATGAGCCTCAGTGGACAGGCACTGCCTTCCACCCTTTGTCATAAACATCCTGTGTACAGAAGGGATAAAGCTGTTCCTCACAATGATGGAGCTCTGTGCCACTAGCAATTAAAATAGCTATAAACTGGGGGCATCAGGAAGTGAGAGTCTGTACTGACTCCAGAACTTAAAATAACCGAATGGGTAGGAGATGCAGGAATGGTATATTAAGACCATGATGTTTAGGGTGATTTCTATGGCAAGAATCAAGCATATTATTCACTAAAACCACTATTTTTGTATCACATATTGTTAAGGATAGAATTGTGTCCCCCCAAAATGTGTGTCAACTTGGCTAGTCCATAATTCCCAGTATTATATGGTTGTCCACCATTTTGTCATCTGATGTAATTTTCCTAAATGTTGTAAATCCTACCTCTATAATGTTAATGAGGTGGAATTAGCGGCAGTTATGTTAATGAGGCAGGACTCAATTTACAAGATTAGGTTGTGTCTTAAGTCAATCTCTTTTGAGATATTAAAGAAAGAAGCAAGCAAAGAAAGATGGGGACCTCATATCATCAAGAAAGTAGTGCCAGGAGTAGAGCACGTCCTTTGGCCCTGGGTCCCTCTGCTGAGAAGCTCCTAGTCCAGGGAAAGATTGATGACCAGGACCTTCCTCCAGAGCCAAGAGAGACAGAAAGTGTTGCTGACACCCTGAATTTGAACTTCTAGCCTACTAGACTGTGAGAGAGTAAACTTCTGTTCGTTGAAGCCATCCACT